ATCGTACTCATCTGTATTATTATGTGGAACTAAATTTTGTACAAATTGGAATTGTGATGACCAGATGGAGCTGGAATTCTGAAATTCACAATGAGGGTCACTGATGGTGTGCAGGATAGATGCACTAAAGGTTTATTGGAAATTCAAACTTTATATTTAAGAAATGTTCTAAAATGTTACTAACAGCCTGTTCCACGATCTCGAAAGAAAATTTGTGCGAACGAAGGCTACTCACTCACTTTCGTATAAGAATGCGTTCCACTAACTTTCGTTCTTTCTTTCGCATAGCCTTGCGTGATTCAGTGTTGCTAAATATTTTTTGGAAAAATTAATCGCGAAATAAGGCAAAAAAAAGCGCCAAATGTCTAATTTAAACGCGAAAAAGCAGCACTGGCTCTGTCCCAACTGACAGTTCAGCTGTAATCAAACAAATTGTAAATAAACAAACAAAATAAAATTTCTAGTGATTGTGTTCAAACTATTTGTGTTCTTAAAAAATAAAAAATGAATATTTCCGTAGCCCTATTTTTATGGATGATGTGAAGGAGGTTCAAAATGTGCCACGGAGGCATTTAAGAGATGCTTCGAATTTATTTGAAGTACCTAACAACCAGTAAGTTTTATTGTATTTTTACATTTTTGAATAAAAAATTTTTTAATAAAAAATGAGTTTTTCTAGGTTTGTGGCCAATTTTCGGGTGTCGAAGGAAGTTTTTCGGGCTCTTTTGGATATGATGGAAGAGAAGTGAGTGCCCGGTTGCAGAACTACCCAAATCCGCCCCGATTTAAAACTTCTTCTGCTGCTTCCAAAAATTGGCACTCCTCTGGCGAACTCAGGATTCTCCTCCATATACTCATCTAGTCCCCGCAGCTGTGTAGTTGATGATTTTTTCGTGCTGAAATTGAGAAAATAAAAAAATATATATTTGTTGTTCACATATTAAATTGCATTTATTATTTTTACTTACATTTTTGTTTCCATTTTCAATCAATCAATCCTTAATTGTTATCATACGACAGCAAACACACAAGTGACTGATTTTGACATTTGTGTTCGCATGCGTACGAAAGAAAAAAGATAGTGGAACGCAAAATTACACTGAAACGCTTACGTTTTCGTTCGCTTTGATTTTCGTGCAAATTTTCGTTCTGATGGATTTTAGTGGAACGGAAATCAGCTGTTTGTCGTGTAAAAGTTGTGCGAACGTGTTCTTTCGATATCGTGGAACTGGCTGTAAGCTTCAAAAATGGTAACATCTGGTTTGTGAACAGATAAAGCCAAAAGCTAAACTGAAATTTTTAATGAGAACCAAGGTTGAAAATGTAATTTTGACATATGAAGATGGTTTTGGAATTGTGCACTAAGTGAGGGAACTGTACTAAATGGTACCAAATTCAGAACAGTTTGGTTTTAAGGTGAACAAATGAAGATGTAATCTTAAAATTTTGTATTGAGATCCCTGTTGGTAGTAGGTTCGTAATTAAGAGGCGGCTTTAGAAATGTGTACTATAAGTGCACGAAAAGTACCAAATAGTACTACATTTGGTACAGTTTGGCTTTGAGTGAAGAGATAGTGCTGAAAATCTGAAATTTAGCATTAGAATTGGTGTTCTTGTGTACCCTGGACATATGGAAGCGATTGCGGAAATGTGTACTCCAATTGTACGAAAAGTACTGAATGGTTGATATGATATATATCAATTGATAATGGGTGAAAGGAGAGACAACATTCAGAAATTTGATATATAGATTTCTGATGGTATTTGTTTTTCAGATTTTGTGGTGGCTTAAAAATTCGTCTTAAATTTGTACAAAAAAAAAAAAAATTAAATGGCACTAAATTTGGTATTCAGTGATGGAATAGGGCTGAAATCTCGAAATTTGATATTGCGGTCACTGTTGGTGTCTGGGATTGAAATATGATTGTGGTTTTGGAAATAGTACACATTTTGAGCTAGTACATATTTACAAATTAATAGTAAATTTTCAAGAAAATAACTAAATAGTACCAGATTTGGTTTGCGTAAAATCCTGAAATTTGAAATCGATGTCACTGTTTGAGTCCTATATGTATACGAAAAGTACTAAATTGTGCCAAATTTTGTATAGGGTCAAATGGAATCCTCAAATTTGATACTTAAGTCTCTGTTGGTATTTGGAATTGAGATATGGAAATTGTTTTGAGAATGTGTACTATAATTGTACAAAAAGTACTGAATCGTGCTATATTTGGTATTGAGTGAATCCTTTGAGCTACAATCCCAAAATTTGTTATTGAGCTATCTCTCTTGATATCTGGTGTTGAGATATAAAGGTGGTTTTGGAAATATGTACTACAGTTATGCTAAATGGTACTAAATTTGGCAACAGGGGACATTACAGAGCTGAAATCCTAACATTTGATATTAAGGTCACTGATGATATCTGAAGTTGAGATATGGAGATTATTTAAAAAAATGCATACTATAATTTTTCGAAACGTACCAAATTTGATATTCAACGAAGGGATATGGTTGAAATCCTCAAATTTTATATTGAGGTCTCTGTTGGTATCTCGTATTGAAATATGAAATTGGTGTTGAAACTATGTACTGGAATCCCGGAATTTGATATTAAGGACTCTTTTGGTATCTGAGATGGAGATATGGAGGTGGTTGTGGGAATATGTACAATAAATGTACGAAAAGTAATAAATTCTACTTAGTTTGGTATTACGTGAAGGAATATGTTTGAAATTTAATATAGATGTCACTATTTGGGTATCTGGTTCAGATATGGTGGTGGGAGACTCATAAAGCATTTGGTATGTTGGCGATTTTAAGCACATTTTTTAACAGAATGTTTTCAAATCTCGTATTTAAAACTCGCAATAGATAACAATTTGGGAACTATATTCAACTCAGAATCGATTTTCAACAAATTTGAAGGAGTCTTTTGTGCCTCTAGTATCAAATAACAATGCTGTATAGTGCATGATATGACTTGGATAAGAATTATATTAAAACATATTTGTTGGAACATTAGATATACAGAACCGAGTTACCACAAATGGAAATATTCGACTGAATATGAAATAAGTAAAAAGCTGTAAGTTCGAAACTTGAATAAAAAAATCGGAGAATAATGTAGCTAAAATCATCAAAATACCGAATATCGGGAGGTATCGTTATATTGGGGGCTATACGAAGATATGGACCTACATAAACAATTCTCCGTCATAAGCTGTAGTACCCATTACGAACTTCAAACAACAAATTTGAAACCATTCCGGTGAATAATGTCGCTAAAATCATCAAAATACCGAATATCGGGAGGTACCATTATATGGGGGCTATACCAAAACGTGGACCTGCACAGACATTTTTCTGTCATAGGCTATAGTATTCATTACGAACATCAAATACAAAATTTGAAACAATTCCGGTGAATAATGTCGCTAAAATCATCAAAATACCGAAATTAGGTAGGTAGAATTATATGGGGGCTTTACCAAAACGTGGACCTACATGGCCCATTTTCGATACCAAAAGTCCTGAAGACATAATATACATTTTAGTAAAATTGTATCAACCTACTTCATTTCGTTCGGACAGACAGGCGGACTGACATCGCTAAATCGGCATAGAATTTTATGCTGATCAAGAATATATATACTTTGTGGGATCTAAAATGTATATATCGGAATGACAAACTTATATACCCTTCATACTATGGTGGAGGGTATAAAAATATGTATCGCAGGCGAGTTCCATAAAATGGAAACATACGTCCTGAAATTCACTCCATTTGGACTAATATTAGACAAATAATGGTACAATAAACCTGAAATAGGGTCAATGATATATAGGGAAGCTATATCCAAATCTGAGCAGATCTCAATAAAATTTGGCAAATATATTTCCGAATTCTATAAGATATCTGGTACCAAATATCATTGATGTCGAATGCATATTACGAATGTGAGGGACTTAATCACCAAATCGGATGAAACATATGTATGGGAGCTATAGCTATATCTGAACCGTTTTTCACCAAATTGATGTGCTTGCTTCTAGACTAAATTCGGTTGGATGTACCAAAATGCAGGTCATTTGGACTGATATTGGCTATTTGAACAATTAACTCGAAATCGGTTGATGACATATAGGAGTTATATCTGTATCTGATCGGATTATCATCGTCCTTGGGCCAAACAAATATTGTTTGAAAAATTTTATCTTAATCGGATAATAAATACGACCTGCATTTTGTTCACAAGAGTACATGAACGGACGGACAGACTGACTGACATACAAAAATTGACTCAGAAAGTGACTCTATTAAAATCCTCAATTGTAACTATGGGTCGATCTCGCTTCCTTCTGCATGTTACAAACAAATGCACAAAGGCATAATACCATTACCACTATTTTCAAAGAAAATTAATTACGAACTGTTGAAACGAATATAAAATTATAAGACTTTTCGCTAGCGAATAGGGTCAATATTCTTCTAGCGAACGGGAAACATTGGTTCCTATTCTTCCGGGAAACGTTGGTTTCAGATCTACCAATATAGATTTAAAGGCCTATGTTAATATATGTACATGTGGGACTACATTTCAAATTCCAAATTGCATTTATGAACTTTTGTGTTAGAGTTTGAAATAGTAAATCCGCTATTCGAAGTTACCAATTATAGTCCTCCCATACACACCACCACAACAATTGCCAGCCACATTCAAATTGTAAATGTTTTACAATGCCATTACAGCATTGCAAAATGACCTACGCCATAATAAAGTCCTCGATAAGGGATTAGCATTTTTATTTTGGTATTTTAGAAAATTTTCCAAACATTTCTTATTCGTTACATGTTGTAATGGATGGTTTTGGAAATTGACAGGCATATCCATTACAAAGATGTGCAGAAAAAACCAAACAATTTTAAATTCGATTTACACTTAAATGGGAGATTTAATATCGGCTAGTTAAAAAGTTAATTTTAAAACTTTAATTTTTTATTGGACAATTTCGAAGAGATGTCCAATTAAAGGATTGACCTCATCAATTAAGGGGTCTCCACTCAATAGGAAAAAGGTTAAATATTTTTTGAATAAATTCTCCCTTTGTGCCTCACGAATAGCTTCCTTGCTGGCATAGAGACATGCCAGTGATTCACCAGTATGGGCATCCGAAAGGCTGATATGATAAAGTCCATTGATTTCTAAAGAAATTGTGAGAGCCAGAGTTTGGTTAAGAGGAAAATGATTCTGAAGCTCCTCTATCTCTGCGACAAGATTCGAATAAATTATGGATATATTTTCGCGATCTGAATTGGAAGATCTAACATAAAGGACTTCAGGTAAAGAGATTTCTGCCTCACTTTTCACAGATTTGCTACTTGGGTGGGACTTCGCGTCATTCGCATCTGTTATCTTTACATTTAAGGAGTTTTGTGGATTGCCATATTCCTCCCAGTTGAATTGGGTCGAACTGTTTTCCACTTCATTAATATTTCTCTTAATTTGAGTTGGTGTATTAACATGTTTTTCCTGCACCACTTGTCTGGAAGAAACTTCAACAAGTTTTCGTACAACTTTTCCAACAAATTGTTTAATGTTGCCATCACTTAATTTCCTCGGTGATTTATGGTCAATATCCAAACCATATCCTTGTTTGGTTTGTTGTTGCCGTTGTTGTTTCCGCAAAAGTTTCTCTTGCCATCTTCTTTCCAATCGTTGCCTTCTTAATTCGGCATCGGTGCGGAAATCTTTCAATGTTAATAAATACTTTTCCAACAGAGTAGGATGGCGATTAATTTCAGCAGTAAATTGTTGGCATTGTTCGGTATTGTATTCACTTTTATCATCGGCCTGCTCGGCCATTTCCTTTGGACGACTTCCCGCACCTGTTATTGATGCATTCCTTAAATATTCCAACAATGAATATAAATCTTTTAGTTTTTCGCCAAATTGTTGTAATTTAGACCATTTATCTTGGGGCATTAATTTGCCATTCAGTTGATGAAGATCTTGGCGCATTTTCTTCAGTTCAAGCTCTAAATTATCCAGACGTGTGTTGTAGCTATCGTATTTTGTTTCATCTAGGGGAGACTCTCTTTGAATATCTTTATTTAAAACTAAATTTTTTGTTTCAGGGGAATTTCCATAATCATTACTTTCACCAGCCTTTCTTCGAAATTCAGGGGAATTTTTATTCTTGGAATTAAAAATCTCAGGCGATAGTGGATTGTCAGAACTTATTTTCAAAGAATCCTCGGATGTGTTAGACGTTTTAGTTCCTAAGTTGTCCATATTTTGGTCATCGTGTTTTTGTGAATTTTCTGTAAATGAAAAGAGGAAACGTGATACAACATCGAATAACCTGCAAAACATATTTAAACAGGCTTGTTTGTTTTAAAAACGGAGGTATATAGTCTCTACGAAAAAATGTATATATTGTTATACCCTCAGCCATATGGCTACAGAGGGTATATATATATGGCCAAAGCGTGCCTCATCGAAATAACGATTTTATATCAAATCCGTTTCAGGGCATTTGGAGTCGATCTAGAGGTGTCCGTCCTTCCTCTGTCTGTCTGGCTGGTGCGCACGATAACTCTCGATTTGGTCTAAACTTGGTAAATCGTAATATTATTATCAAACTTAGATCGAGTTCGGAGAGGGGCAATATAGGTCGACTCGAAAGCTAGACGAGCTTTGTACAAAATTGGCAAATCCCAATATTTGCATCAGTGCTATGTCAGGTGCGAAAATGGACAATGTCGACCCACTGCATTACGTACCTTCCACACGTAGGGTCAACATTTTGAATAGTTAAAAATATTTTAAAAATTAGAAATAAGCATCCGATTGTCTTCGAATTTTCCACATCCCAAAATTTTTATCAATACATAATCAGGTGTGAAGATATGATCCACTTCTTCTGTTACCTCCCCCACAAAGGAGTCAAAATTTTGAATAACTATGAAGTTCATAAAACGCGAAATGAGAATCCGATTATTTTCAAATTTGACACACCCCAATATTTATATTAATAGAAGACCTGTTGTGAAGTTTGGATATATCGGTCTACTCCGATATCAAGCTTTTGGAACTGGTTTTAATAAAATCCACAAAAAGGCGAAAAAGGCTCATATAAACTATATATCAAATAATATAAATAATTATCAAATATACCTTACATTAAATAACCCCATCACGTGACCACATGCTTTCATATCGGTTCTGTGGATCCGGATCTAGCCCGGGTCTGAAACACAGATTGGACTGTCCCGTTTATCGTTGCAAATAATTCACATTTACTTGGTTTTTGTTATTTTAGCAGCTAGTATTGCTGTGTCCGTTCTGATTCATCTCAATCGGGTTCTGCTTCTAAGTCCACAATGTCACTGGAGTTAGTTGAAAAGGTTTGGTTGGATGCTGGGCAGATGTTCTGCACATCACTATCAATCCCAATACGAATTGAGGCGGCTGCACCATCCGCATTTTCAATGCGCCAAAACTTCTCGGGTTTGTCGGGGCTGCTCTCGCTCTGCAGTTGCAATGGGAGGGGGATGGTCTCCTAGTACGGTATTCAATCCATATCCTTTCATGACTTCTGAAACCGCTTTAGAGTAAATACCATTCAGTCCTGCTTGATAGGTATGTTGATATAGAAGCTCTCTGTCTCTCTCTCTCTCTTTTATGTCTGTACCTCACTCTATATCATAAAGGTCTTTTCTTAAGTGCCTGGTGATTGGGTTGGCTCTGTCTGTAACACCCAAGAAGGTATCATTTTATTATGTTGTCGCACCGGTAAGACCTTCGCGATGAGGCACCCTGTTGCGATTCTAAGGGCAACGTTCTGACAGAACTGGATATTTTTCCACTTCGTATAACTAATGTAGGTGGAGCACGCCGAAACCGCATAGTATGTCACAGACCGACCTATCGTGCTGTAAGAGGTCAACAAGGGTTCCTTACAGGCCCCAAGAGCCTCCGGCCTGAGACTTGCGAACCTTTTTCCTACTTCTGATTTTGTCGCCGAGAGCTGTGGTATGCACGGACGATTTAAAGAGCTACCAAATGTGACCCCTAAGACCCCTAAGGTGGTCGGAATTACAACAACATCGACCTGCTCTTTCAAAGATTGCCTCATCTCCGCAGTGCACGTGGTGAAAAGTGTGTCCATCGATTTCGTGCATATTCCTTACAGTGAAACAGGCTATTAGATCAACTAGGTAAGCGTCTAACCGATCGCAAATGTCATCAATGATAGGTCCGGACACCACGAACGTACAATCATCTGCGTACGTTATTATTTCTATGTCGTCTACAGAGATTTAATAGTTTCGGAGATATCACCCCACTTTGGGGAAATCCCTGTTTCAACTGTGTCAGGTACCATCGCTCGTTACAGTGATATTGGTAGCGTAGCTCGACGTCAAGGAAGTAGATGGAAGAAAACAGCAACATCAACAGAAATGGTTCGAAAAGTAAAGAAGCGACTTGATCGAAACTCGTGTCGCAATGGCCGACATGGCTCATGAACTGAACATATCGCTATATTCCATTGGCAAATATTGAAAAAATGAGCTCGGGGTAAATCCATTAAAATTCCAAAAGAGCAAGAACTTACACTGCAACAGAAAGAAACTAGACTCAAAAGAGCCAAGCGAAGCAACGGTTGGCCAAAAGTGGTGAACTGCCGAATTTGGTTTTCTGCGTGTCCGATGAGAAAACATTCGTTGTCCAGCAGTTTATAAGCAAACAAAATTATCGTGTTTGCTTGCCAAAGAGGTCAGGTGAAAATGTGCACCTTCGTTGGCCATGGTGATGGTGTGGGCCGCCATAACAGCCGATGGTCGCTCTCCACTCGTATTAATCGACCGTGGCATCAGAATAAATGAAATAAACCTCCATCAAATATATTGAAAATCGATTCAGAGTTGGATAGTTCCCAAATTGTGACTACTCCAAAGCTATGATATACATTCAAAGGTTCATAGTTGATATGATCTACTTGACATAAATTCGCAAAATAAACTTTTTTGTTATGGGAGCTCTACTAAATACGCATAGTAGTGTAGGGTATCATATAGTCGACCCTGTCCGACTTATGACATTTCTTCACTGTTTATTAATATATATAGCCAAAAATTCAAATTTGAATAATACAAATGTTATGGTGTTATTTAAAAATATAGTTCATTATTTTTTTGAATTATGAAACAAGCCTTAAAAACAATGTCCAATTTAATTTTCAAAAATTGTGTCACTCACCCAAATTGAGGAACTCAAATGAATGCCCCAAAATTCGATTCTTTTGTTCCAATGTGTTGTTGGAATTCAAAACGAAAAATGTTAGAAATCGCTCAAAGAGTCGATTTTGTTCGGCTTGTTGCAAAGCTGTTTCGGTGGTATAGACATCACCCAAGGACTGGCCGGTGTTTGTAACGGATATATTGATGTGGTAGAGATCATTCGATTGCAGAATTACTGTCAGCGCTATATAACCTGTATCTGTGGGCCCAATGATTTGAAGAATGGCATTCAATAAATTCGAATTTATCACCGGCAAATTGGCAGTGAAATATGAGATATTTTCATTAGATTTGGGTGATTTCAGGAATTTGGATTCGTGCTGCATTTCACTCGGCTTGGCTGTGAGAGGAGGACTTTCATTTCCTGCGTGTGTTCTTCGGTATCGGTAATTGTTTCGACTTTTTTGAGCTGATACTTGGAATTCACACGAAGAACAATGATTTTCGGTATTGTTATTGAAATAGCGTATTGGTATCCTAGGACCAGATGTCGTCCCCTCACCGCGATAAGATCTTTGGCAGGATAGACATGGAGACTGTTGTGAATTTGGAAACGAACGATAACAATGAGTTTTTCCCAGTTTCCTAATCGGACACGTAGATATTGAATGATTGGCTGGTAGATATTCCAAACTTTCTCTAGGTGAGTTGTTACATCTTCTCGATGAATGACTCGATAAATGTTTCCAATCGCTCTCCATATCAATATTTCCTACTATTTTAGAATTCTTAATGATGGGTACAGGATATTCTAGATTTTCCGGTGAAACACTGTCTTCTTTGACATTTTCCCTATGCCAGCGGTGTTTTCATTGTCAATTAATTTGGAAATGTTCCTTCCTTGTGGCACCCGAGTCTGTTTTATGTCCATTCCTGAAGTTTGATTCCCATCCATCAACGTTTCTTCGAGACGCAAACAACTCAGTTTTAATTCTTTCAAAATATCATTCACTTCGTTTATTTTTTGGGAAAGCATTGCTATTTTCTCCACCTCGTCTCTTTGGCTCATATTTTGACGTATATCTGTCAAATGCTTATCCAAGCTTTGTATTTGTTTTTCTAAATCTTCTATTTTTGAACACTCAGAGTTTCCATTAAGTTTACGCTTTTTACCAAAGCAATTTGCACAGGTGCCACACTGAGTGGACCTCAACATCAGTGGAATTTTATCTTTGAATTTTGACCTAAAATTAATACATTTATAAAATATTCAAAAAGAGTGTACTCCTTTTTTACGATTTCAATTTTTGTTCCTTGCTTGCAGCTGAAATGTCCTTCCCATCAACATTTTCCTCACTTTCCTTTTTACTCAAACATCCACCACTTAGGCGGCGTAAGTTACCAAAAGATTTAGTTACCTTCAAATCATAGTTGTCGTCATCATCATCACCATCACCTAAAAGTTCCGGCTCTTCTTCGATTTTTTGTAAAGACATATTCAGAGGTACTCGCATTGGGTCTGAAATAAGATAAAAAAAATATCTATCCAATTACACTGGAAAATTAAAACTATATATCACAAGTAAAAATGCACTAAGTTCGGCAGCGGGGTCGAATTTATGATAGCCAACACCACTTTGCTAATTTAGTAGAGCTCCACATAACAATTAAAAGTTTTTATGGGAGAATTCAATCATACACACTATGATTATAATTATAATTTAAAGTTCAAAGGACTAAATATGCCGAAGCATTTGTATCTTTTAAATTCGGACTTGTATTGCCCATTTGGTGCACAATTAATTTGAAATCGGATAAAGATATATATGGGAGCTATCTCCAAATCGGGACCGATCACGATAAAATTTAGCAAAGATATTTTTGAGCTGTATTTGATATATTTCCCTGAATATCGTTGTTACGGAGTGCATATTACGGCTGTGGGTAACAAATATAACAAATTGGATGAGCAGTATATATGGGAGCTATAGCTATATCTGAACCAATCTTCACCAAACTTGACTACTAGCTTCTAGACTCAATTCGGTCGTAAGTGCCATCCCATTTGGGCTAATATTAGACGTTTGGTGCACAATAAAAGGTAAATCGGACGAAGTTATATATGGGTGCTGTATCCAAATCTGAACCGATCTCGATAAAATGTAGCAAAGGTATTTGTGAGCTGCATTTGATATATTTCCCCAAATATTGTTGTTACAGAGTGCATACTACGGCTGCGGAGGACAAAAATAACAAATCGGATGAACATTATATAGCTATATCTGAACCGATTTCAAATTGGCATACTTATTTTTCGGCCTAATTTGGTTGTATGTGCAAAATTCCATACTATTCGGGCTGATATCACACGTTTGGTGCACAATAAAAGGCAAATCGGACGAAGATATATATGTGAGCTATATCTAAATTTTTACCGATTATCTCCAATTTCAATAGGGTTCGTCCTTGGGCCAAACAAATAATTTGTGCAAAATTTCATCTGCATCGGGTAATAAATGCGAACTGTACTTTCTTCAAAAATACATGGACAGACGGACGGACATGCATTAATCGACTCAGAATGTCATACTATGCAGATCATCAAAAGGAACAATGGGTCTATCTCGTTTCCTTTTGTCTGTTACAAACAAATGCTCAAAGACATAATACCACCTTGTGGTGTAGGGTATAATAAAATAATATTCTATTAAAATCTTGAAAATACCGAATATAGGGAGTTACCATTATATTGGGGTCTATACAAAGACGTGAACCTGCATAGGCAATTTTTGCCATAGGCCATTACAATATTCAAATACGAAACTTAAAAAAAAAATTCCGGTGAATGTTAGTAAAATCATCAAAATATTTAATATAGGGAGGTACCGTTATATGGAGACTATACGAAGACCTGGACCTACATAGGCAATTTTCTTTTTTGAAACAATGTCGATAAATAGTGTGGCTAAAATCATCAAAATACCGAATATCGAGATGCATCGTTGTATACAAAGACGTGGACCTGCAAACACATAACTTTGTCATAGGCTGTAGTACCAATTATTGAAATGTGAAAATTTAAAACTTGAAACAATTCCGGCAAATAATGTCGCTAAAATCAGTCAGTCATAGGCTGTAGTACCCACTAGGATCTTCAAATACGAAATTTGAAATAATTCCAGTTTACACTGTCAATGTCAAAACATCAAAATGCCGAATATTGGGAGGTATGAAAATGTGCCTACTGGCAAAATACACATGTGTGCAAAATTTTAACTTTCTATCTCAATTCGTTCGAAAAATAGGGTGATTACAACAGACAGACGGACAGAGAGACGGGCATCGGTAAATCGAATTTTAGATATGAGTAAGTATGATGAGTTATAAACGGAATGACGTAGTTAATATACCTCCAATAGTATATACCTTCAATAGTATAATAATATACCACCAATAAAGATTGTATGTATTATTATACCCTCAGCTATATGGCCACAGATGGTAGACGTGAGAGAGTGAGATAAAAAAAACTGCAACAAAGTCAAACGCCATATTTTTTTTATAATTTTATTGAATAAAAGCAAAAAATATCGGAAATAGCATCAAATTTGAGAATAAGTTTAGATTTGTTCGAATTGGTCACCTTTGGCACGAATTATGGCCTTCAAACGGTCAATGAAACCATCACACTCTGCCCGAATGTTGCTCTGCAGTATTTTGGTCCATTCCCGGCGAAGCACTTGCTTGAGGTGATCGACACTTTGGTATGTTTTAGTGCCAACCTTGCTTTCCAAAATACTTAGACACAATAGTCCAAAGGATTGGTATTTTGGTGGCCATTGTGCGCTGGAAATGAAGTGAGGAATCTTATTTTTAACCATCCTTGGGTGGCGCGTGCTGAGTGCGTTGGTCCTGAGTCCTGTTGGAATGCCCAAGGTCTGCGGCCAAAATGTTTGCGTGCCCAAGTTCTAATACACCCTCCAGAATATTTTCGCGACATGTATTCTGATGCCACGGTCGGCGGCCCACGCCCTCACCATGGCCGGCGCTTGAGTCCTGGTGGCCCACCGAAGGTGCACATTTTCAGCTGACCTCCTTGCAAAGTAAACACGATCATTTTGTTCTTTTACAAACTGCTGGACAACGAATGTTTTCTCATCGGAGAAAACCAAAATCGGCAGTTCACCAATTTCGGCCATGCGAAGCAACTCTTTAGCTCTTTTGAGCCCATTTTCTTTCTGTTGCGGTGTAAGTTCTTGCACTTTTTGGAATTTCAATGGCTTTACCCCGAGCTCAGTTTTCAATATTTGCCGAATGGAATATTGCGATACGTTCAGCTCACGAGCCATTTTTCGGCCACTGCGACGCGGGTTTCGATCAAGTCACTTCTTTACTTTTCGAACCATTTCTGCTGATGTTGCTGTTTTCTTCCGTCCACTTCCTTGACGTCGTTCTACGCTACCAGTATCACGGTAACGAGCGATGGTACGAGACAAAAAAGATTTATTCCCATTTCGATGCTGGAGTGCTCTAACGATAGCCACTTGTGGTTTTCCAGTTAACTTCTTTTCTGGAAAATTCTCACCAAAATTCTTTTGTACCCTTTTAAGTAATATAATCAGCTGTCACTGAAATAATAATTACAGCTGTCGGACGAGTGGCTTAGAATTGACAGCAGTCTGAAGTTGGTTGCAGTTTTTTTCATCTCACCCTGTATATATGAGATTTTAACTGATTTTTATACCCTCCACCATAGTAAAGAGGGTATATTAAGTTTGTCATTCCGTTTGTAACACCTCGAAATACACATTTTAGACCCCACAAAGTATAAATATTCTTGATCAGCATAAATTTCAATGTCGATTTAACGATGTCCGTCCGTCTGTGGAAATCACTCTAGCTGCCGAACGAATTGAAGTAGATTGACAAAATTGTACTCAAATGTATGTTGTGTCTGCAGGACTTTTGGTATCGAAAATGGGTCATGTAGGTCCACGTTTTGATATAGCCCCAATATAACGATACCTCTAGATATTCCATATTTTGATGATTGCAGCGACATTATTTACCGGAATTGTTTCAAAATTTGTATTTGAAGTTCGTAATGGATACTACAGCATAGCACAGAAAATGGGTCATGCAGGTCCGCGTCTTTTGATGATTTTTGAGACATTATTTACCGGAACTATTTAAAATTTTGCGTTTGAAGTTCGTAATGAATACTACAGCCTATGACAGAAAATTGTCTGTTCAGGTCCACGTCTTCGTATAGCCCCCATATAATGGTACCCCTTGATATTCGGTATTTTGATGATTTTAGCGACATTATTTACCGGAATTGCGACATTATTTACTACAGCCTATGGCAGAAAATTGTCTGTATAAACATATTATTTCAAATTTCGTATTTGAATATTGTAAAAGCTTTTGACAAAAGTATAGACCCTTATACTTTCGTTATTTTTAAGATTTTAACAGAATTTTTAAGGGATTTTATTTTATTTATTATTTTTTTTATTTATTTTTTTGAAAATTGCCAAATTTGTACCAAATAGTTGAGGGTATTCAATGTTCGGCCCGGCCCAACTTAGAGCTTTTTTACTTATTTAATTTTCCTATTTCTGTGTGAAGATCGATTATTTCTGCAGTTTTTATACCCTACACCACAAGGTGGTCAGGGTATTATGTCTTTGTGCATTTGTTTGTAACAGGAAAAAGTAAACGAGATAGACCCATAGTTCCTTTTGATGATCTGCATAGAATCACTTTCTGAGTTGATTTATGCATGTCAGTCCGTCTGTCCGACCGTCCGTCTGTCCATGTATTCTTGTGAAAAAATTATACGATTGAGATGAAATTTTGCAAACAACATTTGTTTGGACCAAGGACGAACCCTATTGAAATTGGAGATAATCGGTAAAAATTTAGATATAGCTCCCATATATATCTTCATCCGATTTGCCTTTTATTGTGCACCAAACGTGTAATATCAGCCCGCATAGTATTGAATTTTGCACATACGACCAAATTAGGCCCGAAAATAAGTATGCCAAATTTTATCGAAATCGGTTCAGATATAGCTATAGCTCCCATATATTGTTCATCCGATTTGTTATTTTTGTCCTCCGCAGCAGTAATATGCACTCTGTAACAACAATATTTGGGGAAATATATCAAATGCAGCTCAGAAATACCTTTGCTAAATTTTATCGAGATCGGTTCAGATTTGGATATAGCTCCCATATATAACTTCGACCGATTTGCCATTTATTGTGCACCAAACGTCTAATATTTGTCCAAATGGGATGGAATTTGGCACATTCGACCGAATTTTGTCTAGAAGGTAGTATGTCAAATTTGGTGAAGATCGGTTCAGATATAGTTATAGCTCCCATATATATTGTTCATCCGATTTATTGTATTTGTTACCCACAGACGTAATATGCACTCCGTAACAACGATATTCAGGGAAATATATCAAATACAGCTCAGAAACCTATTTGCTAAATTTTATCGAGATCGGTTCCGATTTGGATATAGCTCCCATAAATATTTTTATCCGATTTCAAATTAATTTCGCACCAAATGGGCAGTACAAGTCCGAATTTAAAAGATACAAATGCTTCGGCATATTTAGTCCTTTGAATTTTAAGTTATAATTATAATCATAGCGTGCCTGATTGAATTCTCCCATAAAAACTTTTAATTATTAAGTGGAGCTCAACTAAATTAGCAAAGTGGTGTAGGGTATCATAAAATCGGCCCCGCCCGACTTTAGGACTTTCTTTACTGGTTTTAAATTTTCGTGGTGTTATTTGATCTTAATCAGAATCGATTTATGGTGTTTTTTAAAACTTATCTGTAGAGATTTTTACGTCGTTACGTTTTTATTACGTTTTTATTAAATTCTCTCCCTCTCTCTCTTTCTCTCTATTTTTCTGATGAGGAGAAAATGCTTCCTTTCTCCCTGAAAAGAACTTGTATTTGCAATATCAGTAAAGTTCAATAAAAAACAGCATAGTTTCATCTTTCAGATATTTATTTGAAATAACACTTAAACTATATTTTGAATACACAATCTTTGTTTTATATTGTCACACAATTTTGGCTTATCTCTTCGTTTTACACATCTACATCTTCTTTTTTTCAAGTTTTGATGTCACCTAGTGTCTTATGATTTGACATTTGTCACGTTTCATTGGCAATATTGTAACTGGTTTGGCGCACAGGCCCTGATGATCCAACGGTGGTAGTGAAACCTTGAACTAAAAGAAAAACAACAAATTTATTAAAATTTCTTTCAATATTTAACATTACACAACATCGCTCGGTTCTGCGTCGAGAACTTACATGTTTATGTAATATTTGCTCGATTCGTTGGCGACTACTTACACAACTGGTGCCGCTGATGGGAAAGTCGGTGGTCAGACAGCAATCTTTCATGGAACGCAATTCAGCATCTAATTTATTGCGATCTTTGGATTTGCGTATGATAATGGCCTGATAAACAGCTTCTCCTTCCTTAATGTAGGCCACAACATTGCGGTACAGATTGTCCTCCTGCCACACCGTGCCACAAATATTTATAATGGAATAGCTGACATTACTTGGTCCACTACTGTACTGGACAAATAGCCACGGGGTCTCTTCAATGTCAACGTTATCATATGGCTCTTCAAAGGCCTGCAAGGTGTTTTAAAATAAATTAGTTTCTAAGTCAAAATATTTCGAAAGCATTTCAAACTTACCCCCTCAAAACATCTAGCCTTGAGCATATCCAATTCTTTTTGTATCAAATCATCCGATTCACTCACATGCAACACCGTTGCCATTCTCTGAATTTTACCATCCCGAATCAATACCTCTCGTATTGTGGAATTATGAAAATCCTCCTTGGGCCAAACAATCTCCTTTTGATGTACAATGGCATGGACAATGGTGTTGGCTCCCTTGTTGAACTGGACCAAATAACGTTTGGATAATCTCTGTTTTAAGATCACCTCCTCGTTGTTTTTCGTCAATGTCTTGAACTGTTGTTCGATGAAGTAGCGATCATCCGAGGCCAATTTAACGCGGCCCTCGATGATGGCATGATTCCAATTGAAGCGCACCCGACGATTTATATACATATTGCTGGAATCATTGTCCACCAAATCAATGGAGTGTATGACGCCGTAGACTATGCGGCCATTCTCCTTGCCCCCCTTCGACTGGCCCTCGTCCATTTCGATGAGGAACCATGACATGCGACAAATTTCACGGGAATTCTGCATTAGCTGTAGGGATGTCATTTTCACTTCGACACACTTGGCACTTTGTATCACACTCGAGGAGATAATTATGTTTTCAGTTAGACTGATAGTTTAGAACTGCTAATCTCCCGTTACGCGTACTTGATTTAAATACTCAGCCTACCTAGTCTGGCTTGCGTATTTTCCATAATCACTAAATTCGGCAGCTACCTGTCCTCACCGCTGTAATAACCCACGCATTTTATTACAGCCACATTTCCACGAAGCATAAATTTATGACCAGATTTTATGACCACAGGTCCTTTGCCGGCCAGTCATTGTCAAAGTCAATTGGTTTTGTGCCAACACATGTTAGGAAATTACCGCACTCTCTGGGAAATCATGTCCAGTTTGAATTTTGCGTACCCAGACACAATATTTGTGATTTTTAACGATAACTTAATTGTACGGAAATTCCCATATTCGAATAGAGATTTGAAAACTATTTACAACATAAATTCACAGAAATCGTTTTCACTATTGTTTCTGGCATTAAACAATGATGTTTGAGGCCTAATAACGAATACAGCTCTTAAGGAGAAATGACTGACAGACTCCTAAAATTTTCGAATTGGATTTTCCATAATTTGGCAGAAGTACCCAAAATGACTTCTAACTTTTACAAAGGAAGTGAAAAATAGGAGTTTAGTTGTTTTTTTTTATATAAAAACAAGAAAAAAGCTGTTAGTTCGGCTGAGCCGAACTTTGAATACCCTCCACCATTTGGTACAAATTTGGCAATTTTCAAAAAAATAAAATCCGTTAAAAATTCTGTTGAAATCTTAAAAATATCGAAAGTAGCCGTATATTAGGGTCTATACGACAACGTGGACCTGCATAGGTAACTTTTGTCATAAGCTATTAAAATATTCAAATGCGAAACTTGAAAAACATCTGTTTATAATGTAGCTAAAATCATCAAATTATCGTATATAGGGGGGTTATAAAACGTAGACCTACACAGACAATTTTTTGCCTTAGGCTGTAGTATTCATTACGAACTTCAAATGCGAAATTTGAAACAATTCCGGTAAAATCATCAAAATACCGAATATCGAGGGGTACCGTTATATGGCGACACATACAATTTTCTGTCATAGACTGTAGTATTCATTACGAACTTCAAATACCAAATTTAAAATAGTTCCGGTAAATAATGTCGCTAAAATCATCAAAATACCCAATATCGGGAGGTACCGTTATTTGGGGCTATACGAAGACGTTGACCTACATGTGGAAATCACTCTATCTTCCGAACGAAATGAAGTAGGTTAATAAAATTTTACTCAAATATGTCTGCAGGACTTTTGACATTAAACATTTTTTTCATGTCTCTCATTTGAATATTTTAATGGCTTATGACAAAAGTTACCTATGCAAAAGTTACCACGTCGTCATTTAGACCCTAATGTAACGGCTGCATTCGACATTTTTAAGATTTTAACAGACTTTTCAACGGATTTTATTATTATTATTATTTTTTTTTTTTTTGAAAATTGCCAAATTCGTTCCGCATGGTGGAGGGTATTCACAGATTGGCCCGGCCGAACTTACAGCTTTTTTATTTGTTGTTTTTTTAAGGATAATTCCGTTCCCCTTTTTTGACGCTCATAACGCCCATAATTTATTTTCCCCATGTACGTTGAGCGCCACAATACATCCGGCATAAAAATAAACAAAATTTATTAATTCCGTCGGTACTATGGTCTATGAACTTAAGTTCACGTTCTGGCTGTTCATTATTCATTTTACTCCTGTAGCCATAACACATCTCTGTGATATAAAAATTTATCTATATTGGAATCCAAAAACAAGTTAAAAAACAAGTAAGCAAAGGCTACAGTCGAGCGGGGCCGACCGTTGAATACCCTTCCACAAGATATTGTGACAAATAATAAAAGAAAACCATCAGCATTCGTTCTCTAATTTTCGAATAATAGCAACTTAAACTAATTTGCTCATTTCCAATTTATTGGTAGATATTGTAGATGGTCTTCCTAGATCTGGAACCAATATTTCCCAAAGACCTATAATCTCTCAGAAGTGGCAAAAGATTATCATTTATTATTGGTTTTTGACTGAAATGCATCTATATGAGATACAGACATTTGACTATACTCTGCAACGAAATCAGCGTTAACGAAATAGTCAGAAATGCGTCTTTCCTGTATTTGTGAATTCTCCAAAAAGTCACTGGAATGGACATTTTCGTATTTTGTCTACAAAAGTTGGCAAACTATTTTTGGATGGCCATCCAAAACTGCTTGCTTTTGCAATATCCGGTAACCCCCATTCAAATGTGCGTGAGGATCGGGCGATAATTACGACCTGCTGACAATTTTGCAGTTTTTTGGTCCATTTCAACACCTAAATATATGGCGATCATCTCCAAAAAGAGTAGGCTTCTATTCTAACCCTCATCTTATCCCCATGCAAAATTTCGTAAGGATCGGGCCATAAATGCGGCCTGTATATGATATTCTGATATCCTAACTACTTAGTTTTGTTAGCTGTAGAAATATTACCAAATGTTTAATTCAAAATGAAAATATGCCAACAAAATATGACAAAATTGAAAATATATGAGAAAATTTTACAAAATCAATATTTTCATCTTTAGAAAGATATTTTTATGCGATTTTTTTAGACGTTTTTTCTTTCCTGCCATTCTGAAGTAATGAGAACTGTCGAAATCAGTTCAGCCGTTCTCAACATATAAGAGATCTTTCAAGCATATCTTCTTTGATAGACATATATATCGCACATATTTTGTTATATATCCGATTTGTTGGATGTTAACATAAATGTAAAGATCGAAGTAACCCTGTCATGGCTTTGTGATTTCGCCGGGATTTAAAATATTCGCGGTTTAATGAAAAATTTTTAATTTTTTCGACACAAAAGATATGGTCTATTTTACCCGCTAAATATTATCCGATGATCGCCCAAATTGGTAGGCTTCTTCCCCGCCCTAAACTCTAGCTACATGCGAAATTCTATTGTCTATTGGTCTATAATTGCGACCTGTATAGCTACCGCAAAATCCGAAATTTTTTCAGTATTTGGTCCATTTCAACCCCTAAATATTTGGCGATCATCTCCAAAAGAAATAGGCTTCTATTCTGACCCTAACCCCACCTTCGTGCAAAATAACACATAGTGTTGTAGGGTATAAAAAGTATCAGTCGGTTCTACCGACAGATGTATACCTTCAGCCAATGTTCGATTAATTATATATAGTTTAGCTTCTGTTATAATTATTTAAATTGTTGACCTCTATGGAGTTGGTTCTAAAGGAATGGGTCAATATTGTTCATTTCGTATCGGATATAAATAGTGTGACCTGCCAGGTTTGGACTATATTTGTTACATCCATGCTTCCATGCTGAATTCTGTCGGAAGTCATTTCAGGTCATTTGGACTGTATTGGCCATTTGGTGCACAAATAACCCGAAGTCGTTTGAAGATATATTTGGGAGCTATATCTAAATTTGAACCGATTCTCACCAATTCCAATAGGGTTCATCCTTGGGCCAAACAAATATTGTTTGCAAATTTTCATATCAATGGAAGAATAAATGCGACCTGCATTTTGTTCACAAAAATACATGGACCGACGGACTGGCATAAATTGACTCAGAAAGTGATTCGATTATTCAAACATATTTCACCTCTATTATGATTATTCAAATGTTTGACCCTCTATGGTGTGGTTTCCGAAGGAATGAGCGAATATTGTCCATTTCGTATCGGGCCTAATATGATATAAATATTGCAACGTGCCAGGTTTGGATTATATTGGTTACTTCCTTCACTTTATATGAGATATGTGATAGTTTTTATATATTGTTAAAATGTGCGTGAGGTACCAGATATAATCGACCGAAGTATTCCATTGTCATTCTTCATCTAATACCGATAAAAGTATTGGCATAGGCAAATTATAAGAAAATCGAATATCTATATCCAATTTTATGCAAAATCATAGACAGCTAATGACAGATAAAAATATTGAAAATTGCGACCCCTTGTGGGTGAGATACCAGAAGGCGTTCGCAGATATATATTATCTTCACAACAGATCTTGTATTAGCAAAAATGTTTGTATGTGTGAAATTTGAAGAGAGTTGGATGCTATTTCGATTTCTTAGAGCGTTCTGCTTTTGAAATTTTGAAACCTAGGTGGGGGAGGTACCAGAAGAAATGGTCTGATATCTACTGTAGGTTTTATTTATAATAGATCTTGTGTTGATGGAAATATTGAAATGTACCAAGTACGAGAGGAATCGGATGTTAATTTTGCGTTTTATGAGCTCCGTGGATATTTAAAATGTTGACGCTTTGTGGGGGAGGTATCAGAAGAAGTCGGCTGATATATTCCATCTTAACACCAGAACTTGGGTAAGGAAATATATTGGGATGTGTAAAATTTGAAGACAATCGGACTTTTACATTACATTTTACAAGAGCTATAATTATTCAAAATGTTTATCCTTTGTGGGGGTCGTACTTGTTGGAGTAGACCGACATTGTCCATTTTCGCACCTGACCTAGCATTTATGCAAATATTAGGACTTGTAAAGATGGAGCAAAATCTGATTATCCTTTCTCTTTATGTGCAGTAAAATATTTTTTTTTTTTTAAATTTCGGCCTTTTGTGTGGGAATTACCGGAAGGAGTGAGCCGATATTGCCCATCAGAAACAGACGGACGGAAGGGCGTGTTTTGCTAGATCGACTCCAAACGTCCTGAAACGGATTTGTTGGAAAGAGACATAGGGTCTAAAACCATTATTTCGATGATGCACGTTTTGGCCATACCAAATAATACATACCCTCTTTAGCCATATTTCTGATGGTATAATTACAGCTAACACTCCAACTTTACCAAAATTCTATGATACAACCTTAAAAAATACTTTCAAGGAATGGGGGTACACATACCTACCTCAAAAAAAAAACTGAAAGTCCAAGTTATTGCAAAGCCTCTCTAAAACAGTTCCTCTGAACTAATGCTTCTAGCCACATTTTTTAACTAAATTGTCTAAATTTTTGAATTCAGAGTTTGAAATGGTTACTATCTTCTCTGGCAGAACA